GTTCCTCTTAATAGATCTAATATGTTTTTAAGTCAAGTATACTTCATTTTTATTTTTTCATGTTCATCACAAAAGCCAAACTCCTTTGCAGGTTGGATTTATATTTACCTACGAATAGTGATGGTTTGAAGCCACTAGTGATATTTGTAACTGGTGGGGCCTGGATTATTGGGTAATCAGAGTTGATCTCTCTCTCTCTCTCTCTCTCTCTCTGCATTTTGCTCTTAGTAGATCTAATATGTTTGCCTGTGCAATACAAGATTTCTCCGAACTAGGTATAATGCTTCATTATTTAACTGGAGTGCCTCATTATAATATTTTCTTTTTTGTCATTAGTGAAATGTTAATTAAGATTTGGTAATAGTAATGTAAAGTTTTCTAGCATACACTTGTTCGAGATGAAGTCTCTATATCTGTAAATTTTTCATTATATATATAACTTATCTGTGGATGAAGCTTCTATTTTTAAATGCCTTCAATGATCCACATTATAACTCATAAGCTTGCTGCAGTTACAAGGCATGGGGTTCCTTCCTAGGACTTCAATTGGCCGAAAGGGATATCATAGTAGCATGCCTTGATTACAGGTATTATACTCTGCTATAGTTGTGAGATTTTTCATCATAGTCCAGATATTAATTATTGAATGGACTTCAATTATATGTCTGTAGTGTTATGCAAGATTTCTGATCCTTCACTTGACCATAGTTTTCTCTTAACTTTTGGTGCAGGAATTTTCCACAGGGGACTATAAGTGATATGGTTAATGATGTTAGTCAAGGAATCGAGTTTATCTGCAACAATATTGTCGAATTTGGTGGCAATCCAAATAAGTTAGTATAAATTTCGATAATCGGTACAAAATATTATTGATCACTATTCGTAGTTGCCAAATGCAAAAATTTTAATAACTTGTAAATATGCAGAATTTATCTAATGGGCCAATCAGCTGGGGCGCACATATCTTCGTGTGCTCTTGTACAGCAAGCAGTCAAGGAATCGAGAAATGAGAGCATTTCTTGGAGTGTGTCACAGATAAAAGCTTATTTCGGTTTGTCAGGAGGGTAAACACGTAAATTCAGACTACACATTGTATTTGTTCTTGTTGATTGAACCTATAAAATCAAAAGATTCCTTATTATACAACTCTTATGATAATTCTTACTGACAGGTATAATTTACTCGAGCTAGTTGATCATTTTCACAATCGAGGTTTATATCGCTCCATATTTTTGAGGTACTGAAAAAAGCAAAAAAAAATGTTCATACTCGTTTGGTGTAAGTTTGGTCTTTTCGACAAAATTTAGTTTGCACCATCTTAATATTATTTCTTCATTCGTCATCTTAGTATCATGGAGGGTGAAAAGGCACTAGAACGATTTTCCCCTGAAATAATAATACGAAATCCAAGCTCGATTGGTGCAGTTCCTCTTCTGCCACGTATCATTTTATTCCATGGCACGGCAGATTATTCAATACCGTCCAATGCAAGGTCAGTTTTGTAATTACGCTCAAATCCCTTGAGATGACTAAACATATCTATTATCAAAGACTCTCCCAGTGAACTGCATTTACATTTTAATTTTTTCTTTCGTTTACTCGAGTGTTCTATATGGCAGCATAACATTTGCAACTACACTCCAAAGAGTCGGGGCTCAAGCAGATCTCATACTCTATCAAGGGAAAACTCATACAGACTTATTCCTCCAAGTAAGATACGGTTTCTTATCCAATTGGTTAGGGCGCGATTGGATATAAATAAAATCGATTTTGATTGGATTGATTGGTTAAAATGAGTTAATTTTAAATAAAGTTGATTGAATGGTTGTTTGAATGAGATTTTGAGTTTGTATTTAAATATTATTTAAAATGTAATAATTAAAAATGTAATAATTAACGTTGATGTGATATAAAAGTAGGAGAAATGTTATTGGAAATGATAGGAAGTTAAAAAATATGTGAGGGGATGAATAGTGAATTAAAGGTGATATGATGTGTGAACATAATTGATTGATGTTATTTAATTATATTGATAATATTGAAGAGATTATGGTTAAGTTGAATTAGATATAGAGTTGAATTTTGAGTTAAGTAGAGTAAAAATATTATCCAGTTAGTCAAAACTGGATACAATCTGTAACCAATCGTGCCCTTAATGTGGGAATTAATGTGGGAAAATGAGAAGTTTTCAATGACATGTAACTCAAGTTACTTGCAACTACATTAGTTTTATCTGTCCTAATCATTGTTACCAAACATAGGATCCTCTGCGAGGTGGTGAAGACGAGCTTTTCGACTATTTGGTGGGCTTTATTCATGCGGATGACAAGGAAGCCCTTGCTAGGGATGCTATGGCACCTCCAAGACGGCGCTACGTGCCGGAAATACTACTGAGATTGGCGGGCGAAGTTAGCCCATTTTAGCCCGTTCATTCGAAAGCTCCGGGTTTTGTATGTATGCTTTTACTAAAGGATGGATCTTGGTTTGCAATCATGTCGAACTCAAATGGGTTTTGATGCTATAATTCAAATGGTTCTGATTATACGAGTGTTTTACCTTTGATGCGTTTTTCTTCCCCTTTATTTGGCTCGGCTTGATGTGGTTGTGGCTCCATTAATGAGCATTTGTAAAAGCCGTAGTTCCATTAATGAGCAACGACGGTGAAAAAGAACCAGAAACTCAATTGACATTCTTCCATAGCATCCATGGTCGTTTCCATTTGTCTTGGTGGAAAATGAATAGATTGCAACCATTTTATGCTTTGGTATATGAAAGTTATATCTTGATTCTCCACTAATCTGCACCTAACAGCAAAACATACGGACCCAAAATCCACATGCAATGACTTTTTGAGGCTTTTTCAGGTAATCGGGCCGGCTAATAGCACACGTCAGGTAAAAAAAAAACCACCGGGTAACCGGGTTGGGTATTTTTTTAATATAATTAAACCCGTGCCTGACCCGTGGGTATGAGAAAAAATCCATGCACGACCCGCGACCCGATATTTCCAGGTCTACTCGACCACAGTTTTTAAACTCGGTCCATAAATTGACCCGGGCACGTCTGGTCACCGGATCAATTGTTGAACTGAATAATTAATTTTAAAATTTTTAAAATTATATATATAGTATTTTTGACATATAAATATACATAAAAGTAACAAAAATAAATATTTCGTATATAAAATTTGTACATCGAAGTGTTAAAAGAATTGTATCTTACAATAAATATTTACTATATCAATATATTTACATAGTTTATATTTTTTATATAAAAAAATATTTAAAAAATATACAGGTACAAGGTCAAAGCCGGGTTGGCCTGATTTTGACCGGGTCCATTGTTACCCGGTTCTAATAGTCCACCCAGACCGGTTCTGGCTCAGGGTCGGCCGGGTCAAAAAACAATGTACCCAACCCGGATTTTTTATTTATTTTTTCCTACCCTACCTAAAAGCATATATAAGATAAGGAGGAGTCAAAAGATTGTGCCTCTGTTGACTTTGGAAGTTTATCTATCGATGGCTTCTTCTTCTTCTTCTTCTGCTTTCTCAACAATAACCCGTTGGATTGGTCGGAAATGGTTTGCCGGATTATCTAATCATCCGATTGTATGGATGATTGGAAAAAGAAGCGTTTATCCGAAAGGTATGAGCACGTTGGCCGAACCGATGTCAACGAAACAAAACCCTTGGCTTATGCTGCCTCCAGCCTTTGACGTCACCGTCACGGGCACCGCCAGCTTAAGCTACAAGTTCTACAACGTCGCCGACAACAAAATCGTAACCCTCGATACAGGAAAAAGCGAATTAACGCATCTGCACATGCGTTTTGCGGGATCTTCACACGGGTGGCTGGCTTTGTTGAGCCCCAGCCAGGATCTGTTTCTCTATAATCCCATCTCCCGTCGCCACATAAAACTCCCTTCGGTTGGCGACCTGACCGAATACCCTGCAAGCCCCACCATAATATACAAGATCATACTCTCGTGCTCCCCAGAAGACCCAAATTGTCGGGCCATCATTATCTACAACAACAAATATGCCCTGGCTTTCTGCTGCCCTGCCTCCAGCAAGGACTGGACCCGTATGGGTGATCACCATTGGCTCAACGGAAGTTTGGGACTACCATTGCGCAATGGGTATTGGGGTTGTGTCTACTCCACAAGACATGAAGCATTGTTTAGCCTTAGGAGAGAGGGCGTATTGGAATCTTGGGATCTTCATTCACTCAGGGCGGTGAAGATAGCCGATGGTGGACGCACTGGAATAGTTACGATGAGGTATCCGAGGAAAATATGTAATAATTATAAAGATTATAAAGAGGAGTTGGGGCTACCGTGTAAAGTAGTACATCATCTTGTAGTGGCCGGGCCCCGGCATGATCTCCTCATGGTGTCTCAATACGTGGCTTGTTTTGATTTTGATGGATTGTATGTTGACTGCTTAGACCCGCATCCGGATAAACGAGGCCTTCGTCTTCCATTTCTGACTATTGGTTTTTTTGTTTATAAATATGACCCTGAGGATGAGGATTTAAAGTACGTCAACTCTTTAGATGGCTTGGCACTTTTCGTTGGCTACCACAGTGATGGATTTGCATTGCCTGCAGCAGAATTCCCGCAGCTCAAATCCAATTCCATTTACTTCACGGATGCACTAGATAATGTCATTTGTCCTGTGCATACAAAAGCAACTGGTGGCCATGACATCGGCATTTTCGATTTTAACAACAAGACTGTGTTGCCATGCTATTATCCATCTGATGTCAAGAATATGAGCAAGACTTTCCCAGCGCCTACTTGGTTCTTCCCAAGTCCTCCTGCGTGATTTGATCTTATGCTTTCTACTCTCCCGTTTTTTGTTTAGTAATTTACTCATTAGTTGTTTTTTTTTACAAAAAAAAATGTTTTCATGTTGGTGTTAATTGGTGTCGTGGTTATTCCTTGTTTAGGTACTGTGTTTCTACATGACATTGATGTTTTATTTAAAGTTTTATATGGTTGGTTGCATGTTGTTGGAGTGAATGGCTTTGTACTTTTTCAGTTCCATTCATTGTTTAGGTACTGTGTTTCTATATGACATTGATGTTTTATTTGAAGTTTTATATGGTTGATTGCATGTTATTGGAGTGAATGGCTTTGTACTTAAACCAATTGCCGATATTGAAACCATATTCGCACATTTAAGGAATATAATCGTAATCAACATTCATAACTAAGGCTACAAACGAGTCAATCGGCTCTCGAGCGCTCGAGTCAAAGCTCGGCCCGAACTCGAGTTTAACTGAACTCAAGCTGAGCTCGAGCGGCTCGAGCTTGTTTTCGGGCCATTTTCGAGCATAAGTTTAAAAGGTTGAGCGGCTCGGATATGTATATAAATATTTCAATATTTTAATATATATACTTAAGGGTAATTTTACTAAAAATATGAGTCAAACTCGAGCCAAGCTCTAACAATCTTTCGAGCATTTTGATTTCAATCGATCTCCAGCCGAGCTCGAGCGATTGTCTTTTTCTGTCGAGTCGATCTCGAGCGTCATAAATCGAGCTCAAGAGCAGGTTAAAGAAATCAATCTTTCTCGATAAGGTCAATGTTCGACTCAGCTCGGTTTTCAGTTTTATCACGATATTCTTATAATTTTTTTTCAATTTAATGCAATTCGGTGCAAAATCGAAGATCGAATTTATAAAAATCTATAGTCGCACTACAATGTAGGAAAAATCCAAACTAAATTTTTTTACAATAAATAAAAATGAACTTAATCAAACTGCATAATTCAATTCGATTTTTCGGTTTGGGCTCCATTTTCCTCACCAAATCGAGAGGATGAGATGAAAAAGACATAGACCTAAAACCGTTCGTGTAATTTGACTATCCTTGAGTATAATGATTTGTACAGAATTAAATATTTAATATTACCGGAAAAGGCAGTGGCGACGTACCCACTACCCGAGAGACGCACGCGCGCCGAAAGCACACGGCTGAACGGACCTAACTTCTGCGGCTGAGCTGATAGCTACGCTCGGCTGCTTGTCGGCTTCATTTTTTTTGGCCAATAGTTGAAGTTTTCAGATTCTCCTGGTCGTCGGCAGCTTTCAGTCATCCGTTATTTTCCGGTAAATTGAAAACCCTTATTCCGTGCTTACTTTCCCCCCAATTTTCTGTTTCATTTTCACCGAAAGTCTATTCTTCAATCTGTTTGGTTTCCATATCTCCAATTTCGTGTAGATTTTTTGAGCATATGTTATGTTTTTTTCTGAAATACTGGATCTGATTCTGTACGAATCATGCACCAAGATTAAAAGGCTTCGACCACTAGGGTTTGGGCATTTTATCGGATTGGGCTTTTGATTGATTTGTTGGGTTTCTAAATAATTGGCTGCCTAAAACAAATTTGCTGGCAGAGGTTATGTTCTTTCTGTTGACATTCAAATGTAGCATTTTTATAGGGAAAGCTAGGCGAAGATGTATATCTGCATCCAGATTTTATTTATGTATTTGGTTTTCGATCTCCGTGACAAGCTTTTAGTGGAAGTTATTGTTGGGCTATTCTTATTCTCATTTTTGGCTGTCAAAATGATACATTGAGGACCCTTATTATGTATTTCTTCAGATGGCTTAATTCCATGAGCTGTATGTTGGAATATTTTTCAGTGATGTTATCAGCTGTGTGAATTGTGTAAGCTGCATTTGTGTTTGTACAACAATTTCTCGACTCTGTCCCTGGGAATATGTGAATACAGAATATTGTTATTTTCTGCATTTCAATTGCACCTAAGGGTGGAAATTTTGAATAACAATAGCTGCAGTTTTTGTGTAAATTCTATGTAGTGCAGTTATATGCTCGCGAGGAACTCATATTCTGTACAATGGAGAAAGATGAATTGATCAAACTTCCTGCTTCCAGTAACTCTGTCCATGGAAGTGGGATTGATGATCGAAATGAATCGGATCTTGAAGCCATTGAATCTGATTGTCTTCCTCCAAACTCTGAGTTAAAAGCCAAGATTCATGAGGAGGAAGCTGGAACATTATCGAATGATGATGATGTGGACATGTCAATTTCAAGTGATGAGGAGAATTCGGATCGTAACACCCCTGTACTTAAAAAAGTTGATGTAGAAACATCAGGTTCTGCTGAAGCAGTTGTAAAAATGACACCTGTCAGCCACGTGCATGCTCAAAATGGATCTCTATCAGTTCAGCAAGAAATCATTTTCAGCAATCAGAAGAACGATGAAACCCTTGTATGTAAAGAGGAGACGAATTCTAACTGTATCCTACTTGTTTCAAGCTTTGATCGTTTGCTCACATGTCATACTTGTATTTTGGTGCATATCTTCATTTTTAGAATTCAGGGTAATGTTTTTCGTTATCTTTTACTTCATCTTTTCTCTGATTCATCAATTTGTCAGTTTCTTGTTATATGCTTCCCATAATTTGATCTTTTAGCTGTAAGTGGTGCGAAGAGACCCCGGATATCTGTTGATGAGCGCCAACCTTCAGTGCGTGTGATCTATAGTTCATTGCCGAGGTGCGTTATTGCTATGTACACATTACTTCTTTGCATATTTATTGGTACATTATGAGGCATAAACTTTCATATCATTCTCAGAGAAAGCAAACTAAAGCTTGAAGAGCTATTGCAGCAATGGTCTAAATGGCATTCAGAAAAGTGCTCATCATCAAATGTACGCTTGTTTTTCTTAACACACACACACACACACACACACACACACACATATATATATATATATTGGTTTGATATTATTTTTAAATATTTGATCTCTATTTGAAATTTTATTACCCCCAATGATTTTGCTAATGTCTGTTTATGTCTAACTCAGGATCCTGGGCTGGAATCGGGAGAAGAGACCTATTTTCCAGCTCTTCAAGTTGGCTTGGACAAGCCTTCAGCGATAGTATGGTTTTAATGTCCTGCGTTACTTTTATTTAGTATTGAGTGGTGGTGACTTCGCTTGACATATATAATTGGATATGGATGCATATTCCTTTTTTTCCCCTTTTCTTTTTTGATATTTAAACGGCTTCAGGTAAATACATTAGGACTTCTGTTCCTAGAAATAGAACCTTTGACATCATATTTCTTTTATACTTGAGCACTTCTTTTAGTTAATTGCCTATCCCTGAGCAACTTTGCCATCATGCAATTGATTATAAGGAAAATGTTTTATTTTAAACTTATATACCTTCTGTTGTTTGTATTGGACTATTTATTTAAAGACCTTTTGGATGGATAACCAAAAGAATGTACAGTCAAGCAAGGACTTCAAACTACAGGATAGCACTTCAGTTCCTCTTTATGATCGTGGATATTCTTTAGCTTTGACCTCTGGTGATGATCCCAGTAGCTTGGAGGGGTATATGCTTATTTTATTAGCACCTTGCATAATCTTGTTTTAGTTATGAAGCCAAGAAGCAACGATATAACATTGTTCATTATCCTGCAGTGGTATGGAGAAGTTGGATACTTCACGCTGTTTCAACTGCAGTTCTTATAGCCATGCTCTCAAAGATTGCCCTAAACCTCGCGATAGTGTTGCTGTTAATAATGCAAGGAGAGAACACAGGTCCAGACGAAATCAAAATTCCAGTTCTCGTAATTTGTCGCGAACGAGATATTACCAAAGTTCTCGTGGGGGAAAGTATGATGGTTTAACGCCAGGCGTGCTTGATGCCGAAACAAGACGAGTCTTGGGGCTTGGAGTGAGATAATTTTTTTTTTAACATAAAATTGTGTGATATTTGTTCCTTGATTGCTAATGCATGCAATTTTATTTTATTCTTTTAGCATTCTTAGCTGGTTTTTATTAGTTAATCTCAAGTGACAAACATATCATGGTATACTCGAGTTTATCCAGAGTTGATATATTTGAGTTTCTTCTACATTTATCATCATCTATGTTTCATGTTGTTTCTAGGAACTTGATCCACCTCCATGGCTTCATCGAATGAGAGAATTAGGTTATCCACCTGGCTATTTAGGTAAGAATTCTATGTCTATGATGGTCAAAAGTTTTATGACCATTTAATGAACCGTAGATAAGTTTTTTAGTATCATTTCGCTGAATGGCCCGAATCAAATAAATCTTTCGCAGTTCCAAATTATCCATTAATGTCTAAACAAAAAAAGAAAAAAGAAAAAAGAAAGAGATAAATCTGCCTAATTACCACACTCTTAGTCTGCAATTTCATTAAAGTAAATATTTCAAGATTCCTATTTACAATTTATAATGAAGTGTAACCACTTCAATTTTTGTATTTATGGTTAACCTCGAGTTATTTGCACATTTGGTGGCTTTTTATATTGTCATGAAATGGCGCTCGTGCTTAGTGCTGTTAAATTAAACGAGCCTGACTCGGTGGCTCGAGCTCAGCTCATTAAGGCTCGAGTTCTGCTCGAGCTCGAGCTCATTTAAAGCTCGTTTGGTTAACAAGCCGAGCTCGTCTCGGCTCGAAAAGAGAATTTTTTATATAATTTTCTATAGTTCGGCTTGTTAAAGCTCGAGATCGGTTCGTTAAAGCTCGAGCTCGAGCACCCTAAGCTCTAGCTAGGCTCGGCTCGTTTACAGGCCTACGTGCTATATATTTTATCATGTGGTCCTTTATCCGAATTCTTCTTCTCACTTGTTCCTT